CGATCAAAAGGAACAATTGCTCCGATGATGCGATGAGCAGATTTTGACTGCGCTATAAACCTGGCGAATCTTGCTTAATTGTCTACGCGTGCATAACTGCAGCAAAAAATCTGCTCAGCACTCTTAAAGTCACAGAGGTCATGTTCACACGTCTCCCTCCCCCTCTCCCAAAGCCCTGCAGAGTCCTCATTGGTTGTCCGTTTCGCTCTGATACGATAAGACCATGTTAGAATACGGGAGATAGAATGACGAAACCCCGCCCACTAGCACCCGTTACTGTGACTTTGAGGTTATTGCGCAGTTTTTGTTTTGCTTACTTCCTACTCCCGTTTCAGGGCGTAGTCAGATAAAAGCATAAAACATTTGCCGTTGATCAATCCCTTTTTGGGATGCGCCAGCATTCCACTTAAATTTGCACATTCGTGGGGGCGTTTTAGTGCGGTGTGGCCTACACAATGACTTGCGATGCACAAGTCAGTCAGGCGTACTTGCGCATACTAATTCAGTTGATAAATATGCCAAGAATGAATCGGTCACAATTTTTTAAATACATTGCTTTTATTTCTCTTACCAGATACTGTTGTCAATCCATAGTTAGAAATGAGGAAGCACTAGTTAAGGTTTTTAACGATCCATACCTGATCAATTTTTTTTCAGTACTTAAAAGATAAACAGCTTACGTGATGTAGAGCAAATGGTAACGGAGATATGAAGGATGCTATACGAAGTTATTACGGTATCTTCCAACATTTTTTCTCCTGAGCGTTTAACACGTTGACGACAAGCTGACGCGCATGCGCGTCAAGAATTTCGCACCGCATCGGACATTCTGACGCGCAAGCGCGTCAAGTCTATGCTACTCACTTTTATCGTGCTTGCGCTCCTTCCTCTCGGGTTTCTTGTATTCATTCTATAGATAATACATTAGCATGACTATAAACCGCTTGGCAGCTAGAGTGGTCAAGTATCTTTTGATTAAGCAAAGATTTTCCGAACGCACAAAACTTTCGTTCCGATTCTTTCTTAATAATACTTTCACTGCCGTCAATATTCTTATGAAAGATTTTAGAGTTAGTTGAAACAAAACTCTGTGAGTTTCAATATATTTGATTTGATGGGAGTACTTAGATATAAATGCTTTTAATTTCATTCGCAGCGAAAGTGATGTTTTTTTACTTCTTCGTGGTTATTATGCGCTCTTCTAAACGAAAACCTTTTGCTACTTATATACTTAACCTTTGTGGGTACCCCCCAGGAGGCCCATCGCGCGGCAAGAAGGCCGAGTCGGCGGACGAGTCGCGGCGCGTGATGTGCGATGAAGGACGTGCAATGGGACATTCTATTTAACTTGACGCGATTTCCCTAATACGCGCGCGACTCGTCCGCTGACTCGGCATTTTGCCGCGCGACGGGCCTCCTGGGGGGTACCTTAACCTTTGTGCGATCGTCCTTGCCGAAATAGTCCTATGAAATTCAAGTTATTGTGCATTTTTAACAAAAAATAAGCGTAAGTAAGGTGAGGACGGCGCGGTCGCAAAATCGCTCCTGTCCCACGAGGTGCAAAATGCCAAAACATGCGATGTCGTCAACGTGTTAATTGGGACAGATTAGCCTCTATAGACGGGTGTCAATTTTGTAGGGCTGACGTCATTCCATCACCCACTATAAATTGGATTGAAAGAAGCACACGTGAAACTGAGAACGTTCTCAAAAGGACTGATCAAACAATTGCCTTCCAGACACTTGTAAATGCCATCGCTTTATGACTCAAAGAATCTGCTTTCGAAAAAAAAAGCCTCATATTCTGAGCAGCCGAAAAGAGGTTTTGTGCGAATGTTCAAATGCTGTAGGAATAGATATATATGTACAGATGTATCTTGTCGAAAGTGCGCTCAAGGTCGACGCCGTGACCCAGGACTGAACCTTTTGTGTGATGTGCCCAGCTACCTTTTGAAAACCGAAACCCTTGACGAGGCCGACCATCGCACTTGGATACTTCTAGAATTTTTACGCTTTCCCCACTTCCTTCTGCCCTCAGTTTGTGAAATACAATAAAATTATAGATTTAGTGGACCCAACTTCTCTCTTCTCGTGGAATCTCGGCCTTGTTGTATTTACAGGGTGGCTACTAAATATTGGCGCATGGTTTATTGACCATATTTTTGCAAAGAGAAACTATTACATATTCAGAAGTTTATTTTTATATACAGTAAAACATATCCATGCATCACTGAAGAAGGTGCTCGAAATGGCCTCCCTCGGCAGTGATACAGGCTTCAAGTCTCTTCTCAACTGACATCACCGTGGGCCGCAAGTAAGTGACGTCAACGTGACGCGAGAAGATCATCACACTGGAATTGGCGCACAATTCTCAAAAGGACAGGCAATTGTTGGATCCGGCTAGCAGGCATCCTGCTCGACGTCGTGCGCACACAAGGAGCCGATTTCCAAAATCTGTCATGATTTAGGCAGGAATTACTTCCGACACCGAGACACCGTTTGTCTTTGTGGACAAATCCGTCAAAATTAACGCCCAGATCTACCAGGAAACAATTTTACGTGATGTGCTCGTTCCATGGACTGTTTCGACCTCCAGCAAATGTCAGTGCCTTCTTCAGCAAGACTAGGCTCCTCCCCATGCCGCAAAATCTACGCTGGTGTTCTGTGACCGCCATTTTCCAGGTTACTGGTCACCAGATGTTTGGCCATCTAACTCACCCGATTGAACCCAATAGATTTTGCGGTGTGGGGCTTCCTGCAGCAGAAGATGCCTTCTAGGCAACATCGAAGTTTGGACTTCCTGAAGTCTTCCTAGGAGGAAGCGTTGAAGTAACTCGACAAAAACTGCTTGCGGCCCACGGTGATGTCAGTTGAGAAGAGACTTGAAGCCTGTATCGCCGCCGGAGGACTTCTTTCCGAGCATCTTCTCTAGTAATGAATTGTTATGTTCTACTGTATATAAAGATAAACCTCTGAAGATTTAATAGATTCTCTTTTTGGAAATATGGTCAATTAACCATGCGCCAATATTTAGTAGCCACCCTGTATAATGCGTATTCTTCGTGCAATGAGTTTCTAGGTGGTCATTTTCTAGTGTTGAGCCGTTTTACGAGATGTCTTCCTCAAAAGCCCAATCCAAGAGGGACAGCGTCTAATCACATCACTCCCTAACACGCTTCGTTGAAGAGAATAACATTACTGAGTAATATAGATTTAGTCATATTAAACTACTACACTTTTGTTACATCTAAAGTTGTATTTAAATCTGTTTTTTAAATCTGTAGTATTACAATTTATTAAAACCGTAAAATCTCTTGGAGCTAAACAGGCAGGCATTAGTGCCGATGCCTCTTCGCTAGTTTTATTCTGACTTCGAACTACAAGAACATACTCGCAACTGAAGTCGAACTAATTCTTTGATTATTCCCCCCCTCCCTAAAAATTTCTAATTTCTATGCTTTTACTCAAACCTAACTATTTTATTCGATAATAGGCCCGCTATCGACGACAATTTACTATCTGAGCGATCGACGTTTCAGTATATCTTCCCTTTCTCACAGTTATATCGCTGTTGCAGAATGGCCATTTCTTATGCCATCAAATTTTATATAGGTGAGAACCCATAATTATTCGGGTCATTTCTTGAATGGCAGTGCGAACGTTATTGAAAAAGCGGTCGGTGAACGACTTTCCATTCAAATAACCCTGAACAATTTGTGCAAATTATCCGGCAGGCGTCCCTTATGCAAAGCCACGCTGAGCGCGACAACGCTATGTGGGCTCTAAAACCCGAAGTTGCTGATTTAATGGTGAAATTGTGTATGTCGAATCTCTTAACAGCTTGTACTTTAAGTTCTTAGGGTTCTGACTATTACAGTGCCATAAAACGGCAGACGGCCATTATTCGTAATAACTTCGTATAGCATACGCGAGCGGCCCGCGCATTTTCCTACGGCGTCTTGAGAAAAAGGGGATAATTGTCACGATGTTATTATTATAGAATATTTCTATCACAATTATAATTACATTATATGAGACACTATCAAAATTCAAGATTTCGAGAAAAACAGTCTATTCTACCGATGACTTGATCATTATTGTGTTATTTTCATCATTTGCCATTTCTATTTTATGCACTAAGGACAGTTTACCGCAACATGGCCTTCTTCCCTTACTTTTTCAATCCTTCTTATTTTCCTGCTTTCTCTTACACAAATACAGTAAAAAAGAAAAAGTAAAAAAGTAAAAGAACGAATAATTTTAATTATGATTTGAGGAAGGTCCCATGACAGAGCAGCCATAAATTATACGAGTCATTCAATCATTTTTCAAACGCGCCCATGTATTCTAACTTCTAACAAAATCACGTAAACAATAACCACACCACTTCTTCTCTTATCAATCTGTACTCATTGACAAGCATCAAAGGCATGCCATCTGTAAGATCCGTTAAGCAAAGCGCTAAAAAAGGTTAAGTGCGAATTTCGCTAAAGCAACTCAATCAATCAAGTAAGATACGAGAAAAAAGAAAAAAACTTGATAATAGCGGCCCGGACGCGGATAGGACTCTTTTTTTGCCCGTTGATTTCGCATTGAGGACCCTTACCGTGCCTTCTTCAAACGCTAACTGCTTATCTGCTATGTCGATCCGTACCGCGCAACGCGCAACGTAAAGATGGAGCAGATGCCAGATCAAATCTTTCGCTGCCAATAACGTGTCAGTGCACACCCTCAGGCGGTCCGCCTATCTCCTAGCTAGGCAATTTTCCCCTTTTGACCTTCGTTTTTATGGAGTGGAATCTCCGTATCAAGTCCTCGGTCTGAATGTGGAAACGGCAGAAACGAGGTATATTCAGTACCCCTCAAGAAGATGCTGTGAATCTATTTCGTTCCACTTTAATTACGCAATTTCTTTCGTCTACAATGTGGTCGCCAATAATGCTTATTGTATAACTTTCCGTATGTAGTGCATAGGCTCAATAATCCTTTCACAGGTTCAGATGCTGCTAGTGCTGGCGGCTTTGCTGCTGCCCAGCATAGTCTGGTGTGGTCCTCAACCAAATGTCGTCGTTGTCACCGTTGCCACAGAAGACACCGATGGACTGCGAAGACTCCTGAAATCAGCGGAAACGTTCAACATCAAAATCGAAGTGTTGGGCATGGGAGAAGAGTGGAATGGTGGAGATACGAGAGTAGAACAGGTGCTCATCATCATTTTATTTAACGAAGTTCACCCTGAGTAGTTTCCCACGGACACAGCTCCAGGTAACATCGCGAGAACCAAAAACAAACGTGATATTGATTTTTTCAAGACCATCGCTACAAGTGTTGCAAATTCTGCGACGACGGCATGTCAACCACGGGAAGCTATGTTCATATAAATGGATTATTTAATGAGCTAGGCTTGACCGTCGTAGGAAAACGATCCGTGGCGCACCTAAGGGCGCCTTAGAGACCTCTGGTAAACCCCAATACGGCTATGCCTTCGCCATAGCCCCTTTTCCTCCAGAGGAGAGTAAGCGCCCAGATCGTCCACTCTCAGTGGATGAAGTGTGTATAGATGATAGAATAATTCAGCTTGCTACCGAGTAACAACACTTTATTCGGCTGACGTTTCGGCGTTATCGCCTTCTTCGGAGCCTGGAAGGACAAAAGTAGCTACGATCCTGTTGAGTGACTTCTGTAGGTTGAAATAGTGTTTGGACGGGTAGTTTCTCAAATGTCTTTTGTCCTTCCAGGCTCCGAAGAAGGCGATAACGCCGAAACGTCAGCCGAATAAAGTGTAGTTAACAATCTCGGTGGCAAGCTGAATTATTCTATCATCTCTACCTCAGAGCGAGACCTTCTGAATCATATCACCCAAAGTCCTATTCTCGAGTTCGTCCCATACTCCCTCGAAAATCAGTTGACATGATCGGTAACGAAGCATCTTGCCAAAAAGGAAAGTAATGGAGTTATCGGCGTTGACCAGTCCCTTTTTGGGATGCGCCACAAATTCTGCCTTCATTAAAATTCTGGTAGCGTTTTCCGACCACCCGATAATTGAATTGGTGTAGTTCTCCGGCCAGACAATCTATCACCAAGCAACTCACTCCGGAGGGATGGAAGCTGGCCTGGACGAGACTCGATGTGGGACTCGACCCTTGGACCGTTCGCGTCGTCACCAGCTCCCCTTCGCCGCGCCATCACCGCTCTAAAGGAGGCATGGTATAGGACAATGCTTGCCTGATATGGGGTTTCCTTCACCGGTATGATACCATTGTACCCCCAATCAACTGAAGTTTGAATCCAGTTCACTTGTTGCTCTGACAATTTTTTTTGATATTCCACAGAGTACCGTAAAACCATAGAACTCTGCTTTCAAGTAGAATCGTAGTGGCATTTCGAATGCACTTGGGCCTTGAACAATGACATGTGGGAGCCAGCCGAT